AGCACTAAGCTCACTTGGTCTTCCACTTAGTCCCCTAGTTTTCTGCCCACAGGGAGACCCCGTCTGCCCGAGATGTTGTGCTGCACCAGACATCCGGCCGCATCCACAACAAGAATGTCTCTACTCACCTCATTGGCAACATCAAACGAGGCAGGTTGCTGAGGGCAAACACTGCTTTTAGGAGAGGAGATGCTGTGTTTTCTCTCATTTCTAGTCCTGTCTCTCCCTCCCTCTCTCCCTCCCTCTCTTCCTTCCTCTCTTCCTCCCTCCTTTTGGCCATTCCTCCCACGTGTGCTCTGATCTTGCCTTTCTCACATTTTCTTCTTCTGGTCCTTCTACCCACAGGCCACACTGCTGAGAATGGTGGCTCTGGCCTCTTTGCCCTCTGCACCATGGATGGTGAGTTCCTCAGATCAGCTGTGGGCCAGCTGTGTGCCTGGGGATCTGCTCGGGGATCCTGCCTGACCCATCCACCTGCCTCTCACCCTGCAGGGACACTGAAGCTCATGGAGGAAGCAGACAAGCTGTTGTGGTCCGTGCAGGTGGACCACCAGCTTTTCGCCCTAGAGAAATTGGATGTCACGGTGGGTGGACACCTGGTGGAGAGGAACGTTCTTACCTTCACATGAAGAGAGAAGATTTTAGTGAGGCCATTCTCACTTCACGGTTAACTCTCACCTTTATCTTTTAAAAATATATATATACATTATTTTTTATTTCAGAGAGAGAAGGGGAGAGGGAGAGAGGGATAGAAACATCCTAATAATAATAAGATGGCAGCCCCCAGTCCCCTCAGCTCCACAGCCGCCCAGGGCCGCCTGAGGCTCAGGTAAACAGGGCCGGCCAAGGGCCAAGGTTTGCGCTGACAGCAGTGGCAGCAGCAGAGGTGTGATGGGGTGTCACCTTCCCCTGATCTCCGGGTTGCCTCACACCCCTTGGGCTCCCAGGCTTTTTACCCCTGTATGCACCAAGCCTCTAGTCAATGATAAGAGAGAAACATTGATTGGCTGACTCCTGCATGCCCTCTACTGGGATCAAGCCCACAACCCAGGCTTGTGCCCTTCCTGGGAATCAAACCATGACCCTCTGATTCATAAGTTGATTCTCAGCCACTGAGCAACACCAGCCAAGCTCAACTTTATCTTAGGGCCCTCTTTAGACAGCTCTTACTCTCTTTGGAGTGAGTCATTCCCCTGTTCCACAGTGCATAGCACTATGTGCTCTGGGCAATCTCTCTTTCCAGTTCCTTTCAGCAGCAGTAATCACTCCAAAGAGAAACATATAATTACTAGTACTTGGATCCAGAAGTTAGTCATCAGTCCCAACTGCAAATGTATGTTATTTTCTTGTCCTGTGTGAGTCTGTCTTTACTAAGGCTGTGGCTCCTGAATCTGCAATGGGGGCTGTCCTTTGTGCTGCCGTCATGCATGCTCAGTGGTGTCGGAGAAAAGGCCTGAGGTTTGGTAGAACAGGCCTGGGTTGGAGGCCTGATTCCACCACCTTCCAGCTGAGTGACCTTGAGAACATGACTTTATTTCTATAAGCTGAAGTTCCTTCAGTATCAAATTGGGAGTAATGCTCACAGGATTGTTGTGAGCATTATGTAAGGTGGCTCATTTGACAGCCCCTTTGGTGCCTGGCACATGGGAGAAATTCAGTAAGAAACATATGGTTGTCTTCTTTCCCAGCTGGTTGGTTGTCATCCAGAGCCAAGTCCACAGCTCCTTGTACAGTATTTTATTCATCCCTGTCATTAGATCTCTTTCTAACATGGCTCCTGGCCACCCCTTGCAATCTTGTCTCTGACCTATTTCAGGGCAACGGGCATGAGGAGGTGGTTGCCTGTGCCTGGGACGGGCAGACGTATATCATTGATCACAACCGCACAGTCGTCCGCTTCCAAGTGGATGAGAATGTCCGAGCCTTCTGTGCAGGTGGGCCCCTGCCCCGTTCTTAGTGTGTCCCCTATGTGAGTCTTCATAAACAAATGAGTTCCTTAGCTCTTTCATTGGAGGGTGATGGGTGAGTGCTCAATTGCCATCTTTTTAAAAAAATATATATTTTTATTGATTTCAGAGAGGAAGGGAGAGGGAGAGAGATAGAAACATCAATGATGAGAGAGAATCATTGATCAGCTACCTCCTGCACACCCCCTACTGGAGATCGAGCCCACAAACTGGGCATGTACCCCACTAGGAATCGAACCTTGACCTCCTGGTTTCATTGGTTGACACTCAACCGCTGAGCCATGCCAGCCAGGCTCAATTGCCATCTTTACAGTTTTAATTAAGAAGAAAAAACAGCCAAAACCGGTTTGGCTCAATGGATAGAGCGTCGGCTTGGGGACTGAAGCGTCTGTACAAAATCAATAAAATATATTTAAAAAAAAAAAAAAGAAGAAGAAGAAGAAAAAACAGTGAGATCTCTATTTCTGAATATTTTAAAGAATGTATGATTTCTTTTTTTAAAATTGATTTCAGAAAGGAAGGGAGAGGAAGAGAGATAGAAACATCAATGATGGGCATTATTGATTGGCTGCCTCCTGCACATTGGATTGAGCCCAAAATCCAGGCATGTGCCCTTGACCAGAATCAAACGTGGGACCCTCTGGTACACAGGCTGAAGCTCTATCCACTGAGCCAAAACTGGCTAGAGCAGAATGTATGATTTCTTATCTATCTATGTGAGGACGTCAGAAAGCTCTTTCCCATCTGAGTATATCAAAACTCTGTGAAGGACATGGTCTTAGCCCATCGATGTTCAACCTTTTTCTTCTCATGGCACTTGTAAGCTAATCACTAATCTCCTGCGGCACACGAAAAAAGTATTTTTTTTTTTTTTACAATCTGACAAAAAAAAAAGTATAATTTTGATTCTTTCACATTTTTGGACAGCTGTTGTGCTGGCTGTTGTCATTTTTTATTCACAGTCTAAGGGAAAAGAGAACAGTGCCCCTGACTAAATAGTCAGGTATTGCATGTTTTAAAAATTCTTGTGGCACACTGGTAGAAAATTGCTGACCTAGGACATTCCCATTAGTTCCCAGTTAGGACCTTGGAAGCCAGCACTCACTCGGGATGACATGGAGATAAGCGAGGTTACTGAAGTGAGAAGAATTGAGCAGTGCGCTGGCATCCTTACTGCAGGGCCTTTGCACAGGGGTTGCCACCTCAGAGAAACCTTAATTTCTGATTACATTTTGCTGACTTACCCCTTAGACTAGCAAAACTAGTCATTACTCCAAGGCTGTCACTAACATGACAAATGAAGTATCACATATCCGGATGCTATTCTGCCTGGGTTTTGTTACGATAGTTTTTCTGTGGCATAGGGCCAGATATTTTCTGTTTTACTGAGTTCCCATCAGAGAAGACTTAGAAAGAGGGCCTTTGGTTTTCTGTTTGGCATCTGGGAGGGTCAAAACTGCTGACTCGTATTTTGTTCTTGCTTTCCCACCACTGGACTGAAACTTCTGGACCTTTGTCTCACCACCCACCCCCAGGCCTGTATGCCTGCAAAGACGGCCACAACAGCCCCTGCCTCGTGTATGTCACATTCAACCAGAAGATCTATGTGTATTGGGAGGTGCAGCTTGAGCGGATGGAGTCTACCAATCTGCTGAAATTGCTGGAGGCCGAGCCCGAGTTCCAGAGCCTGCTGCAGGAGCTGGGCCTGGGTGAGTCCCAGCAAGCTGCGGGGCTAGTAAATCGGGGGGTGCAGGAGGCCACAGCCTCTTACCAGCTCCTTTCTTGCCCTCAGATCCTGATGATCTCCCAGCAGCCCGCACTCTGGTTCACCAAACCCTCTACCATCCTGACCAGCCACCACCGTGTGCTTCTGCAAGCCTCCAGGATCCCACCTAGCGGGGCGTTCCTTCTTGGCTGAAGAAGGATCCTCTGAACCTCCCTGCCCCCAAGGTATCATGGTATTGGCAGGAGAGGGAACGTATACTACAGAGGAGCATGGACAGATGGTAGCAACCGGAGGGTGACTGTGAACTATAGAACCCCTGGTCTCCCCGGTGAGAGAAGAGACAACTGGACTGTCTGCCCATTTCTGTGTACCTCAGCCATCACATCAGCAGGGTAAAGGACCCTGACCTCATTCCACATCACCTGGGACTGCCCCCTCCCCAAAGCTCTCCAGTCTCGTATGGAAAGCAGACTTGTTTGTGAGGAGGAAGCACCAGTCTGTGGGTGGCCCTGACACTTGTGAGGAAACAAGGCGTCGGCCAGTGCAGCTGTGAGAGAGGGGCTCTGCCCTATCCCAAGCCCCATCTTCCATGTCACAACTCTGACAGTGGTGATTATTGCAAAAATGGAGAACTGTCTGCTTTGTTTTTAGGGGCCTTTCAGGACATTTTACAGTCTGGTTTTTGTGTCCCCAGCAACCCTGAGATGATTTCGCTCTATTTTCCAAAGACACTGGGGCAGCAGCCTCTCATTTTGCCATATTCTTCGAGTACTGTGCATCTTCCTAGGCCTCGGTCCATTTCCCACCCCCCATTTCCACAGAAATACTTTATCGTCTATCAGACAATAGACATTTACAACCTGATGCAGATTTATGATCCAGACCATAATCAGAATTCTATCTTGGGCCATTTCTATCCCTTCTGCTCTTATAATAATTCTGTGTGCTTTAAATCAGTATCTTTCAAATTGTAGACTGCAATCTTTTAGTGGGTTGTGATCAGCATTTTTTTTTAAATAAATAAAATAGAATACAATAGAATGAAAAATAAAGTACTAATTGCTACAGTATATGAAAACATTGGTTATAATTGTATGTGTATATTGAGTGTAATATAAACTGTATCTCCTGCTTTAAATTATGTTCAAAGGAGTTTGAAAGATATTGCTCTCAATTATATTGACCCCAGCCTGATGGGTGTTTCTGGGGAAGGGTCCACATTCATATTTCCTTTTGTAAGGGAATAAGGGCAGAGTTCTCATTCAGCTCTGGTGGGTATGGAAGAAGAACAAAGGAGGACATCACCATAGAGAAATAGGTGTTTATTCAAATAGAGAAGCAGCTGAGCTGAGGGCCAGCCCTAGGGCCTGGAGTCTGCAGTCTGTGTCTACAATTACAGAAGCAGCAGGAGGCAGAAGCGAGAGGAGCAGGGTGAGGCCAGGAAAGCAGAGGCCGTGGAGCGAGGCAGTGAGGGACCAGGGTCCTAGCACTGTGACAGCGAGGGCCCTGGAAGGGCGGGGACTTAGCCGAGAAAGGCAAGGCTGGGTGTCAGGGCAGTTCCTTGCTAACCTGCCCCACGCTCAAGATTTTGTTTCCAGCCCAAGGTCCTAGTTCCCTAGTCAGATTCGTTACACCACTCTCTTCCTCTACGTCCATGATTTTAGAGGCTCAAACCAGCCAGAAAGACACTCGGGGGTCTAGTTTCTTAAGGTTTGGATTCTTCTCCACAGTGAAGTCAGAAGAGCCTCCTTGTCCCTTTGCTGTGGCTTAGAGCCCGCCAGGGGACAGAAAGCCACAGATTTCAAAACAAGACAAGGTCTAGCTCAAGAAGCCCAAGATGAGGGGTAGGAAGAAGGTCTAATGAGATGGATAGTCCTAGAAATAAGGACTCTAAGTACTGACAACCCCTCCATCCTGTTCACCTTTGGGGGCAGCTCTCTGCAGGGCTCTTGCCCACACACCCTGAAGTTCAGGGACCCAGTGGGTGAAAAAGCAAGTGGAGGACAAATATCTGGAGCAAATACTAGAGGTATATCCACGGTTTCGTGCAGGGTAATCAAATAATAACTGGCTTCAGGTGTTTGCAAGCCCAGAAAAGGTAACTAACAGAGCTCCCAGCCTTGTGAACTGGCATTCCTCTACTAAGCCACCTTCCTAGTGTGTTGAATCATTCCGTTCAGTGTGTCCCTCCACCCGCCACTCAGCTGTGAGCTGGCGTGTGCAGAATCAGAACAGTAGGCACCAGCCGGGATGGGGAGCTGGTTGGTGAAGTGGGCCATCTAATTCTGAAAGATAATGAGCCCAGAAAGTGAGATGAGAGATGTGGGAGTGAAGGTAGTCAAGGAGGTTTGGGGTGGCAGGGGGCAGGTGGAGGCCAGTTTCTAACCCCATTTTCCTTGTATAATTTTTTTAAATGTATTTTAAAATTGATTTTTAGAGAGAGAGGAAGGGAAAGAGAAACATCGATGTGAGGGAGGCATCTTCTGCATACCCCTCCCCAGGGACCGAGCCCACAACCTGGGCATATGCCCTAACTGGCAACCTCTCTGCACAGGATGACACGCAACCAACAGAGCCACACTGGCCAGGACGCTTGAGTCACTTTCTGCAGTCCTGATTTGGCTTTGCTCTTCTCTGGAGGGGAATGAGAGAGAAGAGGGAAGCCAGAGCCCTGAGATCCTGGGCCCTCTGGGAAAGCTCCTGGGGGATAGGGAAGTTGCCAAGAAGCAGAGACGAATGTGGCTGACAGGGTAATAGGACAGTAGGATCAGGGTGGTGACAGAAGGCACAGACAAAGCGATCCCCAACTCCCTGGCTGCAGTAATGTCCCTGTACCCCTCATGGCTCTTCCCTAAGTCACAGTGCTTCCCCCTGGGGACTGATGGGGCCAGCAGTCACTGGCCAGGCTCTGGGTACAAAGGCAGGAAGGGCAGCTCTGGGAAGGGGGCTTTCAGCCGCAGCACTCGGTGTTCCAGGTCGATACAGCACTGTGGGGTGTGGAGGGGAAATGTGAGGTTGCCTCCTCAGGTAACCTGTCTCCCAGCCACCTCTTAATTGTTCCCCCTCCCGCTTCCCCATTTCCATTCACCCGGACCCCTGTGTCAGGGAGAGACCCGGTGCTCCATATTTTTCACTTGTAGGCAGATCAGGAAACTCTTTAGGAAGCAAAGCTGCAGTCCCATATCATGTCTTTCACTGGGTCCTGACCCAGGCTTCCACACCTGTGCTTCCTGCCTCTTTCCCAGCCCTTGGTCAGGCCCCAAAGTGCTAGTGTCCTCCTTACCTTGAGAGAAAGCAGAGTCTGCAGTCCGAGACAGAATTCAGGACTCTCCACATCTGCAGGAGCCACATGAAAACGAGACTGGAGGGTACTCGGTGGTCACTGCTGCCCTCACGTCAGTGCATGCCCCTTCTCGCCCACTCCACCCCCCAGGTCTGAGAATCTTGGCACAGATATTGGGGATAATCAGAGCACCTTTGGGGATGCCTTGTCTGGTGCTGACTAGGCTAAAATTCCACCTTTGCTCCCCCCTTCACCCTCTTCCCACAGGAGAGAAGGTAGAAGAGATGAGAAGTGAGGTTTTTGATTAAGGGAGGACTTACCCACCACCTGAGCTGAGCATGCCACAGTCTCCTGGCCTAGCTGTAGCTCCAGCTGCTCCACCTGGGGTGGGAGTCCAGGTGCTGGGTCCCTGTTCCCTAACCTGTGGTTGGGAAGGAGGGTTATTGCCATCACAGCCCCAACTCCTATTCCCTTAGGCAGCTAACGTCCCCCCCACCACACTGGGTTCTCATCCAATCCCTGGCCTCACATAGGGTCTAAAGCCTTGTCAGAGCTCGATCAGCTAGATATAGTTCATATACCGTGGGAGTCATCACCTTTTAAAGTGTACAATTGAGTGGGTTTTTGTATTCACAGATATAGTCACTACTATCTAATTTCACAATATCATCACTCACTCCAAAGGAAGCCCCATCCCCCATCCACTATTTGGGGCCATACTCTTACCCCAGGCGGGTGAGGCATCCAGCGGAGATCTGGTTGTAGTGGGTGCCTGTGTCCACGGCCACCCTAAGGACCTGGTCCTGACACTGAGAAAGAGGGTGGTGGGAGATTCAATGAGTCCCAGGAGAATGGCCTGGGGACCTCCACCTTCCCAGCCTTTCAGAAGCGGACGAAAGGAATGAACTGTGTCTTTAAAAGTGGTTTTCATGGCACTTGTACAACTGAGAAAAAACTGGCTCAGATTAAAAAAAAATAATAAAAAAAAGGAAGTGAGCTGCATGGGATACTGAGTCTATCTGTTTGGGAACAATCTGACCAGAAACGGATATCTGTTTGTCTAGAGCAGGGGTGGGGAACCTTTTTTCTGCCAAGGGCCATTTGGATATTTATAACATCATTCTTGAGCCATACAAAATTATCAACTTAAAAATTAGCCTACTCAGCCGGGACCAGTTTGGCTCAATGGATAGAGCGTCGGCTTGGGGACTGAAGGGTCCTGGGTTCGATTCTGGTCAAGGGCATGTACCTTGGTTGCGGGCATATCCCCAGTAGGGGGTGTGCAAGAGGCAGCTGATCGATGACTCTCTCTCATCGATGTTTCTAACTCTCTCTCTCCCTTCCTCTCTGTATAAAATCAATAAAATATATTTTTTTAAAAATTAGCCTACTCAATTTGGTCAAACATTTAACCAACTCCTAATGCCTTTGCAGGGCCAGACCAAATGACTTCATGGACCTTATATAGCCCACGGGCCAGACTATCCCCACTCCTGGTCTAGAGGAGTTCTTGGGAGGCTGAGGGCCACCAGGTTAGAGAAATCTAGTTGGAGTGGGGGAGGGATGAGGAGACTGGAATACCTTGCTGGGAAATTCAAATGTGAGCAAGAGAGACGTTCACCATGGGAAGCAAAGGAAGACCCGTTCATTTTCTTTAGGACATATACAGACATTCTGGGTTACACCTGCATATCACAAACACATGGTTTTCTTATTCCAAACTTTTTTTCTTAAATCCTCATCCGAGGATAATTTTTCCATTGATTTTTTTAGTGAGAGACACATCGATTGGTTGCCTCCTACACACACCTCAACTGGGGTGAGCCTGCAATCAAGGTACATGCTCTTGATCAGGAATCGAACCCATGACTCTGGGGACAAGCTGATGCTCTAATTAGTGGGCCACACCAGCCAGGTCTCATTCCAAACATTTACTGAGCATCTACTATGTATAGATATTGCTGGAAGGCACAGCAATGAATACTATTTTTTCAGAGCCTAAGGGAAGTGAAATGTAACTGCTGTATGATAGAGTCTTAAGACCTATGAAAGGATTGTCAGTAAAGTGTCCTATGAGGAAAGGCTGTTTCCTACTGAAAGTTTTCAAGGCAGAGGTAACATTTGAGGCTTACAAGATTGTGGAATGTGGACATAAAATGATTGCAAAGCAGGCAGAGGAAATGCTGAGCGAAGACAGTGGCCTAAGAGCAGTGGGCATTTATTAGGAAGGTTCAGTATTGGTGGGTGGCTAAATGGCTTCAGAGATGACCAGGCCATCACATGAGCTTTTCCAGGAGGGTTGCATTACCCATCCGGGCACACACTATTATTAATATGTAGAGCACCCTGAAGATCATTTACATATTCACATTTAAAGATTATACTTTGATAAAGGAAAGGGAGTCATGGTGGAAGTGCACATAGAGGGAAGATGGTTTGAGGCAAAGAGTAAAGGAGATAGAGGATCCCACTTTTTGGTCCAGGCTTAGGAGAGAGATTCATTTTCTCCCTCCTCCCTTCCCTCGATACCCAGGGCAGAAAGGAGAGTGGGTGAAGTGAGCCAGTCACAGGCAGGATTGTTAAGGAAAGCCATGCCCTGGGAGGCCTCTCACCTTGCAGTTGACCAGAAGAGCTGGAATCTCTGGCGTGTTCGTCTTCCTCCTGTTCTCCTGGCCATGCATCAGGGCCTGCACCAGGGGAGACTCTCCCTGACTCCGACTCTGGTTTCCTTCTAACAGGCGTCTTTGGATCACGCTATGCGGCTGCTAGCTCCATCACAGAACAATGAAGGAAGATAGGTCTGAAGCCAAGTATCCAGGCTGCTTGGTTCCCCACCTCAGATGTCCCAGGACATTGTCTCTACTCCCACCCAGTCCTGAGTCTCACAGGAGTAAGAAAGGGGCAGGAGCTTACCCAAGACTCCCAGCAGTTAGATCATTATAGCAGAGTGAACCCAGTATCAAATCATGCCATTTCCTGGGACCCCAAGAATTGCTCAGCGATGAAGAAATGGGAAGGGAATAGCCCATCTGGGTTTGACTGATTAATATTGGCTGATGGTACATTTCAGGAACTAGTATTATGCTTAGGGGAAATTCTGTCTCAAGTCTACAACAGGTTTTTTTGTTTGTTTGTTTGTTTGTTTGGACATTTCCCCCGCTTTGTTGACCTTATCCTTGAATGGATTGCAGGTTCCAGGGTTGATGGTGTGATTAATAAAAATCAAAGTAAAAAAAAAAAAAAAGGAGAAACTTAAAATATTTAAAATTAGGGTGCTGGGAGTCATCTTTGGACTCTCCTTCACCTGCAACCCCCTCCCTCCAACACAGACCAATCTCTTTCTAAAGTCTACCAGTTTTGCCTCCTGTGTTTATAGTCCATCGTACTTGCTGTTGCTGCCTTTATTCCAGACTCACCCCAGCTCTCCTGCTTCACTGGGATGCCCTTTGCCTTCATAAGAACCTGCCTCTAGTACTGTTGCCTCTCAACTACACCTGCTCAAAGCCAATGATTATCTAAAACCCTTGCTCCTCAAAGTGTGGTCCTCATATCAGCAGCTTTAACATCACCTGGAAGAAATGCAGGAAAGCTACTGAATCAGAAGTTTCAGTTCCAACAAGATGCCCCGATCATTGGTGTGCTCATTAAAGTTTGAGAAGTGTTCAAATAAAACATGTTACTCCTCTTTTTAAAATCCATCAAAGCACCCCCCTCCCCATTGCTTACATGGTAGAGCTCAAACTTTTTAAGGAGATCCTCAGCCCAGATGACCTGGTCACTGCCGGACTCTGCCTCAGCTCACCCTTCCCACCCCACCCCACCCCACCCCACTCCTGCCCCGGCCACCTGCTCATACTGCTTGCACAGGCTGTTTTCCCACCTCCGTGCCTTTGCTTCTGCTCTCGCCTATTCCGGAGACTGGATGACTAGCTCAACACACTTTGTTCAAGAACTAAATTATCAGGAGAAACGTCTGGGGTTCCACATGCATCTTGGTAATTAGTGCAGGTTTACCTTCTCCAGGGAGCGCTCTCTGACCTCTGTGCTCTTCCCTCCACACACAAGGCTGGGGCACTCCCCTTAGTCATGCTCCTCACAGATGTTCTTTTTGGATTTCACTCCCCCATTAACTGGGCGAGTACTTGAGACCAGGTAGGTCTGCATCTCATTCATTTTTCTGTTTTGCTGGGCTGAGCCCAGCATATACTTGCTGAGGAATACTGTGTCTTTCCAGGCTCCACACATGCTTCCCCACCTGCCCTCTCTCCGTGGGAGCCTGGGATTGTTTTTCCACCCTTGGCCTAATGAGGCCCTTGAGGCTGCTCCCGCCAGCAAGGCTGCCAGCAGGAGAACCAACTCTGGGAAAAGGGCAGCGAGCTCTGGGAATGGCCAGAAAGAGCAGCTCGCAGTTCCCAGGTCTCCTCCCACCTTTCCCACGGGGGGGGCCCTCTCCAGGGCCAAATCCACGGTCCCCTAAGGGTAAAGCTGAAAGGTCCTAGCCCTAAGACCAAAAAACCTGCTTCACTGTCCGTGGTTTCTCGGCTGTGCTTGCCATGCTTGCGAAGAGGAGGTTCTCTCAATTGAAATCTTAGTCTGATCACCTTTCCTTTTGGGGGGCTGCTGAGCGGGACTAGGGGGTTGCCTGGCCTCTGGTCAGGGCTCTGGAGCGGGAGCAGTTGGCTGGGAGGAATCTGGAAAGTAGGATGAGGGCCAGAAGGGCAGGGAAGAGTTGTGAGGTTCTCAGGTAGCAGGAGCTGCCGGAGTGGCCTGAGGCCCCCAGAAATGCCTTTGTGCCTCAGGTTGCAGGAGTACCCACCCTCCTAAGTGAACGGAGTGCCCCCAGACCTTTGTACAAAAGCCTTCCTCTCTGTTACGACCAAGAGGCCAGATACAATGCCAGGTTCTCTGCATCCTACAGAGCTTCCTTTCTCCCAGGCTAAGTAGCACAGTCGCTGAAGGAATCCTAATAACTAGCATTTACACATGGCTTTCTCTCACTCGGCTACTGTTCTAAGTCTTTTATGGGTTTTAGCTCATGTTAACCCTTGCAACAACCCTATGAGGTAGATACTATTACTTTTATTCTCATTTAATAGGTGAAGAAACTGAGGCAGAGACATAAAGTAACCTGCCCAAGTAGCAGAGCAGAATCTGAATCTAAGCAGCGTGTCTCCAAAGCCCATGCCCCTCACCCCTCTCTCTGAGGGAATGCACATACGCAGGTCCCTTGACCACTCACCTCCCACGGGTACCCCCCTCCCCCCACCCTACCTCATTCCCTCTGGAGGTCAGAGCTGCTGCGGGAAGATGGGAGGAAAGGAGCCTGGAGGGAGGCTGAGAGGAGGAAGGGGGCCCTCAGGAGGCAGGTGGCCTGGCCAGTGCTGTTAGAAACCCTGTGCTTTGGCAGGGATGGAGGCCTTAAGGCTTCATTCTGAGGGGGGAAAGCACATGAATGGCCAGAGCTGGTATGAGAGGCTCTGGTTCAGGGAGAGGAAGGAAATCATAACCCTAAACTGGCCAATCCTCCAGGCCCTCCAGCTGTAATCAACCACTCCAGAGGCTCCGTGCCCCTAAAAACCTCTACTCCCAAACAGCAGAGCTCACTCCAAGATAAGCCTTGGGTTTGGGGAGGGGGAAGTTGAGCAATGAGAATCGGGTCCCTCGGAGCCACAAGTCATGGAAATATTCCTGATGAGGAGCTGAGAATGATCAGAGGGAGCCCCTCAAGTCGGCGGGTCTGCCTGTTCCCACTCTCAGTGAGGGAGGGGATATGAAGGTTTAGGGTCCCCAGTTAAATGTCATCACTCCCCCCCTCAGGGTAGGGAGTGGAGAGATGGGGGGGGGGGAGGTGGCAGAGGTCTTCTGGGGGGGTCTGGGGAAGGGGAGAGGGCTTCCTCACCAAGTCCTTGGAGGTGCCCAGCCTCTTGAGGCTGTCCAGGGGCAGCAGGTCGGCGGAGTCCTTGTGCAGGAACTGGGTGGCCTGTTTGAGCCTGCGTTGCTGGCTCAGGTGGGCTCGGTCCCGGAGCTCTGCCCCCTGCCCCCTCCTGCTGGAGTCTCCCCCCTCTCTTCTGGTCTCCTGCCGGGTGCTCATGGCCACGGGGAGACTTGATGAGCTTGGTGTGCCGGGCGGGGGCTTCTGCGAGGTCCTCCTGCCGCCCTCTGCCTCCTGTGTCCTGTAGCTTCCTGCGGTCTCCGTCTGGGCTGCAGCTCTCCTGACAGGAGGGTCTGGGCGGGAGGAAGAGGAAATAAATAAATAATGTGCCGGAGCAGCCGCGTCAGACACCAATTCCCAGAGAATACGGTAGAGGGAGTGAGATCTGCTGGAAAAACGCAGTGCTGGAGAGGTGCTGGGGGCCTGCCACCGGCTCTGCAGCAGCTCCAGCTCTGGGGTTCTGGCCGGGGTGGGTGGTGAGGGGGGGGGGGCGTGTATGTGTGTGTGTGTGTGTGTGTGTGTGCCTGCTTGAAGGACTGTAAAGGCGCTGTGGACTGTTGTTTGAAAGGCAGTGTGTGTCAGTGGGGGTGGCAGCCTGCATGGGTGTGCTTGGTGTGAGTAAGACATGCAGGCATGTGCATCCATGGGCCTGGGTACTAGATGGCTCTGTAGCCCTCCACACCCCTCTACCCCCATCCCCTCCACCTGGGGTTCTTGCAGCCCAGGGGTTCAGGTGCAGGCCAAGAACTAGGTTCAGAACCAGAGGGGGCAGCATCAAAATGTCCTCCCTTCATTTCCTCCCCTCAACAGGAGACGTTTCTGGACTCAGCCTTTCGGTGTGGCCCATCAGTTCCCATTACTGTGGGGTCTGGGCTCCAGGGCTGGCAAGAGCAATTCTGAATCTTCTCACAAGTCAGCCCAGCTTCTCCCTCTGTTTTATGTAAGGCTTCCCCAGCCCTGGCTTAAAAGAAAAAAAAAAAAAAAAGAAAAAAAAGGCCTAATTCAAACAAACAGGAAGTTATAAAGAAATGATACACCTTAGTTGTAGACCTCATTTAAAAAAAAAAATACTACATGCCCTAACAGTTTGGCTCAGTGGATAGAGCGTCAGCCTGAAGGGTCTTGGGTTTGATTCCGGTCTAGGACATGTACCTTGGTTGCGGGTACATCCCCAGTAGGGCGTGTGCAGGAGGCAACTGATTGGTGTTTCTCTCTCATCCATGTTTCTAACTCTCTATCCCTCTCCCTTCTTCTCTGTAAACAATCAATTGGGGGGGGGAGTAAAAAACAAACAAACAAACAAACAAACAAGAAACAGCTGAAGCTCAGCTTGTACTTTTCCTTCTCCCTGTATGACATCCCTCCTGAATTTGGTGTTTGTTGTTCCCACACTTGTTTTTATGCTCTTTATACATATAACTGTGTATGTATCCTGAGCAATACAGCTTTTAGTTTTGCCTGACGCATCGCATATATTCTTCTGCAACTTGTCTTTTAAAAATATATATATTTTATTGATTGTTTACAGAGAAGAAGAGAGAGGGATGGGTGGCCTGTTTGAGCCGGCGCTGCTCAAACAGGAGAAACACAACAGGAGAGTTAGAAACATCAATGAGAGAGAAACATCGATCAGCTGCCTCTTGCACACCCCACACTGGGGATGTGCTCACAACAGGAATCGAACCTGGGACCCTTTAGTCTGAAGGCCAATGCTCTATCTACTGAGCCAAACCAGTTTTGGCTGCAACTTGTCTTTTTTTTTTTTTGCTCAGTATTTTACTAGTGAGATTCATCCATGAGATACACATTGCTCTGATTCATTTACTTTAACAGCTGTATAGTATTCCTCTATATGAACATGTCATATTTAGAAAAATTAGGTTTTCTTTTTCCTTTCCTTTTTTTTTTTTCCCCCCCAACCAATGGTTACTGGTATGAACATTTTTGCATATCTTACCTGGGGACATGTATAAGCATTTCTCTAGAGTATATACCTAGAGAATTGCTTCTCCATTTATGGATAATGCTAAATCACCCTCCAAAATACAAGTGTTCATTTCAGTAAGGAATGTATGGAGTGTCCTGGGCTCCACTTCCTCACCCACACTTAGTATCGGACTTCTTATAGTGCTGACTCATCTGTCTTCAGATTTTTCTCTCCAGCCTTGTGTCTTCACCATCATCAAAATGCTTTGGTCAAGCACCTGCTCGCATGTGGTGGACACTCACAGCATGAGTACCCACTGGAGCCCTGCTCCCTAGGGACACGGTCTGGCCCAAACACTCCCAAGGCAAGTGCACATTCAGACAAACCAGGTACCCTCTGCTTTTCTATGGACCAAGCCTCTTTGAGGCACTTTCACCACCACTACAATAGTATGAGGAAGTATTTTATCATGAACCCCATTTGCAGCTGAGGAAACTAGCTATGTGTTGTGGGTTGTGATCCACCCAATTCATTTGTTAAAGTCCTAACCTCCAGTACCCCAGAAGATGACCTTCTTTGGAGATAGGGCTTTTATAGAGGTAATCAAGTTAAAATGAAATCAGTAAGGTGGGCCCTAATCCAATATGAGTATATATCCTTATTAAAAGAGGGAAATTTGACACAGAGAGAGATGTACAGGTAGAAAACCATATGAGCATGGGGGGTGAGAATGGGGTAATGCATCTACAAGCTAAGAAATGGCAATAATTGCCTGCAGAACATTAGAAGCTAGGAGAGAGGCCTCAAACAGATCCTTCCTCACAGCCCGCAGAAGGAACCAACCCTGCCAACACCTTGATAGTGGACTTGTAGCCTCTATATCTGTGAGACAATACATTTCTCTTTGTGAGCCACCCAGTTTGTGGTATTTTGTTATGACAGCCCAGGAAAGGAATACACTTAGACTTTGAAAATTTGCCCAAGACTCACTTATTATACAGCAGAACCATAGGAATCAAACCCTTGTGTTCTGTCTCCCAAGTCTCGCTCAGTTTCCATTATGCCAAAAGGACCTATGAACCAGGTGGTCACGGTTCTGTTCCCAGTCAGGGCATATGCCTGGGTCGCAGGCTTAATCCCCAGTAGAGGACGTGCAAGAAGCAGTCAATCAATGATTCTCTCTCATCATTGATGATTCTCTCTCTCTCTCCATCTCCTTCCTCTCTGAAATCAATATATATATATAGATATATATCCCTAGCCAGTTTGGCTCAGTGGATAGAGTGTTGACCTGTGGACTGAAGGGTCCCAGGTTTGATTCCGGTCAAGGGCACATGCCTGGGTTTCGGGCTTGATCCCCAGAAGGGGGTGTGCAGGAGGCAAGCTGATCAATGGTTCTCTCTCATCATTGATGTTTCTATCTCTCTCTATCCCTCTCCCTCCCTCTCTAAAATCAGTAAAAATAATTTTAAAATATATATAATAATTTGATAAAAATGATAAACATGAAATGAAAACCAAACTATAGTATGATTCCATTTATCAAGTTCTAGACCACCAGATCCTGCTTCAATTAGACTCTATTTTAGTGAAATATTTCAGTTCCTTCCCATGCCTTGACATCTACTACCACCACACATTTGCCTGGGATAAAGGTCGAAAAGGATCCACTGACACATTGTGCTGGTTCCTGGTGGTTGATTCCATGGGATTAATTGTATGCACTAACAAATCAGTGAGTGACCTGCATACTGGGATGCTGGGCTGGCCCCAACACTGAACGGTGTCTCCTCCAACTTTATTCTTAGGAATGCACTCCTTAGGTTTGAAAATTCTTCAACATCTTCAAGAGTCCTTTATTAACTCAACTAGAGGCCTGGTCCTTACCCTGGCCTGTGCCCCCTCACAGTCTGCAACTCCTCGCGCATTATCCTCGCTGCTCGCTGCCCCTTACCACTCAGCTCGCTGCTCCTTAGCACTGCTGCTGCTGCAGAGGTGGGAAAGGTTCCCGTCACCGCCTCTGCATTTGCCAGCCTTGAGCTCGGCTTCCGGCTGAGTGGTGCTCCCTCTGTGGGAGCGCACTGACCACCTGGGGGGCAGCTTCTGCATCGAGCGTCTGCCCTCTGGTGGTCAGTGCTTGTCAGCGTGTCATGGCGACCGGTCATTCTGCGGGACATTCCACTGTTCCGTCGATTTGCATTGTAGGGTTTTATTATATAGGATTTTCAGAAGAGTAATGCTATCAATGAACAAGAGTGAGATGACTCTAGTCTAGGCACTTAGCATGGTTGTCTTGGGCAGCCTAATAACAGGGTCAAGATGTCTCAGACTGCATTCCAGGGAAGACTCAATGTACCTGCAGGGTAGAATGAAGACTTTGGAATTTATGATTTGGATGGGGTGAGGTTGGGGACATGAGTTCCTCTTCTCTAGTCAGTCTGATAAGGCCTTTGTTGCCTGATCCTAGGAAGCACTTGTACTCAGGAAATGCCATTCTCTGGAATGTAGCTGAGTCACCCTGTGGTCTTTGGTCCAAACTAATATTACCTCACTCCCTACCTCACCATCTGGGATAGGACTCAGGAGTGAGGAGACTCTCTTTTGCCTTTTTATGTTCCTTGGTTTATTTTTTTGTAAATTTGTATTTCACCCAAAGTTTCAGAGTGAACAGAAATGTTCTTGCAATACAAAACTCTGAGCTCTTCCTTGTCAGGGGCGAAAGAAATCCCTTTGTTAGGATGATGGAGAGCATCAGGGAATGTTCTTTGGCCAGTTGTAACCTCAGTTGGGTTATCTGTACTTTTACACAGTAATTCACCTCCGTTCCCTCTTCTCATTATTATTTTTAAAAAATTTTTAAAAATTTTTATTTTTAGCCGAGACCGGTTTGGCTCAATGGATAGAGCGTCGGCTTGGGGACTGAGGGACCCGGGTTCGATTCCGGTCAAGGGCATGTACCTTGGCTGCGGGCATATCCCCAGTAGGGGGTGTGCAAGAGGCAGCTGATCGATGACTCTCTCTCATCGATGTTTCTAGCTCTCTATCTCTCTCCCTTCCTCTCTGTACAAAATCAATAAAATATATTTAAAAAAAAAATTATTTTTAATTTTTTTTTATTGTTGAAAGTATTACATATGTCTCCTCCCCTCTTTTCTCCCCCATTGATTTCTCCTAGCCCTCCCCTGCCCCTCAGCACAGGCCTTCACCTCCCTATTGTCTGTTTCCATTGGTTTTGCTTATATGCATGCATACAAGTCCTTTGGTTGATCTCTTACCCTCACCCTCACCCTCCTCTGCCATCCCTCTGAGGCTTGAGGGTCTGCTCGATGTCATTATTTTTTTAAATATATTTTTATTGATTTCAGAGAGGAAGGGAGAGGGATGGAGAGATAGAAACATCAACGATGAGAGAGAATCATTGATCATCTGCCTCCTACATGCCCCATACTG